TAACATGAGTAACCACTCGACTCCACCTAGTCAATTATTAACTTGAAACTTTAGCAGCGGTTGTCACATCGGTGACACAAACCTGCTGTAACATTTGGACAATTCTTTATAACAGGTTTCATTTAACTCAGTTACTCTGCTAATAATAACAGTAAGAAAACATTCCACCTCAGTTCGAGGTTTCATTTAACTCAGTTCCACTAATAATGACAGTAAGAAAACATTCCACCTCAGTTCAGTTTGTTTTCTAAATGAACTACTATATTTTCTGGACTATAATTTGCACTTTTTTTCATCCTTTGGCTGGATTTGCGACTTATACTTAGGTGCGACTTATATATTAATATATATAATTTTACCCTGACAGCCAGTAGAGGGCACTAGTGCGACTTGTACTCCGAGTGACTTATAGTACGGAAAATACGGTAATCCCTTGTATAAACCTATCAACCTATTTCTGTAGGTTTTGGGAAGTCTCAGTCACGCGGTCAGCCTTTGTTCCCTTTCATCTATAAATATACACAATTTCCTCCTCATTGTGCATCATTTAACTTCAAAGTCTTTGAGACTGTTTTTGACCTGACAGTTCTACAGCATGTATTAAACACTTTACTGCTATTTCCCTAGTCACACTTTGAAGGTTACAATTTCAGAGATGACACTACAGTGCCATGCGTCATCTCAGTACAGGGCATTCATAACGCAGCTCCACAGACCGTTTATAAGAAGTGGACGGAGCCACAGCCTTCCACTGAGGAGCTCACGGTGGAATACTGTAAAACTCTGCTGCTGTTTGAGTCAGTGGGACTGTCGGGGAAAGTGTTCACGTTCATTCATTCTTCTTCTATCGTATATTCCTGTGAAGGCTCACAAGAGGAACAGAAGCTAATTTAGTTTGTTAATAATCGGTTGTGTTGGCCTCATTTTTAAGAAACTCTGATAAGGGATTTCTGCAATTTTTATCAGTACATGTTTCAAATATTTTGTAATGTCCTGACATTGATTACATTGATTTATTGTCAATTTATATATTATATTATTATTTATACGGAACACAACTGCGGCATTTGGAATATAAACAAGTACCTATCGGTACCTATCGGTACTACCTTAGTACCTATCTGGACTATGGACTGTCTAACTTATTGGACAGAGGGTCCTTGGTTTCCTACGTCCTCGTCGTCATGTCGCGCCGTGACGCCTTACGAAGAAGACAGCTCCATACATAGGATTGTGTTATGTTCACTTTCTTTCATTTGTGTTGTTTTTCTGGGAACTTTTTGCCCTTCATTCTGACTCCCAGGTGTCAGTCAGACTCTTCTGATGTTTTTATGTCCTAGATTATGATGTGACCACTGTGTTAGAGAAGGTGAGTGACAGAGGTACTGATGTAGAGTATGTGAGTTCAGACTTCAAGGTCAAGGAACCCCCTCTATTAGGTTCAATGACATCAAATATGCCAATTATATTTGAAAAGTACTGGTTATTTTTCTTTGTGTTGTATTATATTACAAATGTGATTATGACTGACTACAAACTGAACAGGTATTTATAAAAGGAAAATTCAGCTTCCATAACATTTTCGGGCTGAAGGGTGGGGGTAAAAAAAAGCAGCTTGGATCGAAGACTTGCAGTATGGAAATGTTGTATTGTGTCTGTACAGGATGTTTCAAGATATACATCATTCAGACGCATTTTAAGGAAAATAAGCAGAGGTTTTACAGCTGTCCCTGTCATAAATGAAGCACAGTGTTCGGCTACACAATACCAAGAATAGTGTCTGTCCAACAGAGATAACATTATAGCTCTCTCCCCTTCTCTCTCTCTCTCTCTCTCTCTGTCTGTCTTACTCTCTCTCAAACACATACACACACAGGCCCATACACAGTGTTAATCTCTTGCTCCCTCTCTACTGTACATAGGGACCGTGTCTGTCAGTGTAATTGTTCCCAACTCTATAGTTTAAAAAATCGATGTTGTTGGTTACACGTCAACTCCTGCTTCTCCAGCTAATTAACATTTGTAGTGCAGAAAAAACACATACTTGGCGTCATACCGTAGGTCTGGTACCTTGCTAGTTACAAAAAAGTAGGCCAAGTACTCAACAGACCAAGTCATCAGGTGGGAGAGGTGGACTGAATCAGGTCCTGGGCTCATCAACTCCTGATTAGGAGCTGCTCCTCAAGGTTAGCGGGAATACTGAGCTCACTAAACCAATCAAGGAGGGAGAGCTGATTAGAATACTGCTACCGTTATATCAGCACAATGTATTAAGCAGTAAAGGAGTTCATTGTCAGGAAACATCGATCGTTCCATGCCTGTGCACACACTGCAGCACCTGAAAAGCTGCACACCAGAGTCAAAGGTCAAATTTCACACTTGGTGAGTTTCTCATTCCGTCGTTCTTCAGGGGTGTTTTCATTTAACAGCCAATGTTCGGAACGTAGGTCGGATATGAAACTGACGGCAACTTTATTTATGGCAAAACAAACGCATACATAGTACAGCAGTATATGTACTATATATATTTATATATATATGTACATATATATAAAATATGGATATGTATGTTGTATTAAAAGTTTTGTGGAAAACTTCAACATTATTTTTGCATATTTTTTAGGAATATTTCTACCGTCTGTCTAAGAAATATTACTGCAAATTTGAATAATATATATATATAAATATATAGAACACACTTGGGAATTTTACTCAAATCCGTTCTTATATGATATACAGAATATACAGCAGAACAAAAGATGTCTCATCTGATGTCATTTTTATTCCTGTTTGAACCCTCAGCATCTCACACGCCTACTGCACACCACCTACCCACCCCCCACCGCCACTGTGGCAGGGATTTCCCCACCCTCCAGGTCTGGCTCTGAGCTGCAGTCAGCCAAGCGCAGAAAACACACATGTCCAGGCAGCACCACCCCCCTCTCACCAGTGACCACCACCCCTAAAACGTCTGTCCGTCTGTCTCTCTTCAGCCTTAAACCATCGTAGACCAGTTGAGATCTGGCTATCCAGATTCATCCAGTAACACACACAAAACTATGTTTATTATTATTATTATTATTATTATATATTTTTGACATTTTGAAAACAATGTTTAATTGAATATATATCCATTTAAACTATGGGTCAACATGGTTAAAATGTCAAATTACACAACACGTTTGATCACAGGTCACAGGTTACCCTGTGGGTTAGTTACCCATCATGCCTTGTGTTAGGTCTTCTAACACAGGGGTTCCCAGAGAGCATTAGCTTCTGGCCATATACCTTGTTTGTAAATCAATAGACAATGCTATAAAATATGTAGAGAAACATCAACTTTTAGAATGTATTTTCTTACTTTTATTCATTATAAAAGCTGTCACTCAAGGTGGATTCAGGTACAGTTAGAATCTGACCAGTACAGCAGTTTATGTGTTGTACACTCAGGACAAATGGTTTAATGATTTGCTCTTACTTTTTTTGTGTTGTCTTTCTGCCAATTTCCTGAGGTCCCCCTAGCGCCCCCTGGTGACCCACAGTTCAGACAGACGGTCAATCAGTGAAGTCACTCTAATGGTGTCGTTAGAAAAAGTTCTGAAGCCGTCACTATATCAGTTTGGACCACCAGGGCTGTCGACCAATCATGTTTCTGCTTCACGTGTTGCCAGGTTGAAAGAACTCAGCCCTAAGGCCTTCAGGCCCAGTACTGGGAGCATACATTAAATGAATGGTAATGACGTTTCTTTAACCAATCAGATTTTGAGTTGGCATCCAGCTGGCACAGCACGGTCTTCTAGCTGGCCCAGAGTTACGTAGGCGATTTGAGGGATTCGATTGGTCGAAGGACACTTCTGGGAAATATATACTGTCTTTCTGCATAATGTTCAATAAGATATGAATGTATTCAGGCCTGGGCGAGGAATGCTCGGTACGCCCACTGCTCCATCCCCTTCCCCAACACCTACAGTATGAGCTGACATGGAAATAGAGCCGGAATATATTCTCTCGTCTGCCTAACAGGAGGAGACAGGGAGCCCGACGCCTAATAATGTCTACAATCACGAGCAGGGATTAGACATGGCAAAAACTGCATGAGACAGGTGGTGAGGGGATGGGAAACTCCAGGAGCTTCTCTGAGCTCTGCTCCGTGAATGGGGGAAGCCAGGTGCACACGTGGAGCTCAGGCTGCAGCCAGCCACATCATGTCAGGGCCAACACACTCAGCTTCTACTGTACACTGTATCTACAGAGCCACTCAGGGGCGGCACAAGTCAAAGATTTGACAGGCATAGACAGAGGGGCTGTGACCCAGTCCCATCAGGTGAGGGAGTCCAGACAGATGCATGGATACTTCAATGGGATGTTTTTTAGTAGCCACTTAACCTAGAACCCAACATGGATGTTTTTGGACTCGGGGATTATGAAATAGTTCCTGGGGCAGAACATGCAAACAGCTGGGGCTCGAACCACAAATCTGAACCACCACGCCACTGTGTGGCGCTCAATATAGTTCTGTATTCATGAGAAGTGGATTCAACATCATGTCCTTGTTTATAACAAATGTACTGTAATTGGTACATGTATTTAATGGAGTCATTTTTGTTTTAAATATTTGTAATCAACGTTTGTTTGTTTTTCACAAACAATACTAATTCATACTAATTAGAGTAAAGGGACTAAAAGGTGCTTTTAGATGTTTTAGTTGGATGACAAAGACAATAACGTCAGTTTGTTTTCCCCACAGTGTGTCCCTGTGCATGCACTGTACTGACTCCTTCATTCCAAAACAAGCCTCCACACAAAAGCACACACATTATTTCCCTCTCCTTTAACCAGGATCGACCTCATTACTGGCTGAGGTAAAGCAGTGTCTTTGTGAGGAACCATTACAGAAGAGACAGTGAACACAGACAAGCACACAAACCACACCAAACACTTACAGAGCAAATTTCGATTTTCATAGCGACGGAAAAGGAATGATTTGGAAAAGGCTGTACCTTTGCTTTTAGCTAGAGGAGCGGGAGCAGGAAGAGGAGGCGCAGAGGGAACAGATCCAGAGCCGAGACACAGAGAGACAGAGAGAGAGAGAGAGAGAGAGAGAGAGAGAATGTGAGTTCAAAAAGTACTTGGTAACACAGATAGTAATGTATGTACTGTAGTAATACATGTTGTGAGGATAATTCAGAAGTATAATACATCACAAAACACATGCAGCAGTCAAACCACACTGGTAACATGTTCTCGTTTCTGTACGACAGAGTTCTAGGGCCACAGTGAGAATAACAGATTTTAATTAAATTAGGAGATTAAATTTGAAGTCGAAAAGCTTCCATTTCAAAAGGTTATAAAGTAAATTAAAAGAATAAAATTGGAATATCTGTATAAACGTGTCTTCACAAGTACTGTGTTGTGTTCAAGTGTCTAAGAGGAATATATATACAGTATATTCCTCTTATATATATATATGTATATAAATATAGATATATATTGTTAATGTTTTAATGCTGTGTCCTTTTTTAAAACGTGTCATCTAAACTTCTCACAAATTAACCATTTTTTCACTTTTTTCTCGTTCCTTTTTCTTTTTTAAAACGTGTCATCTAAACTTAAATTTACTTTTTTTTCACTTTTTTCTCGTTCCTTTTTCCACTTTTCTTCCACTTTATTCTCATAGATATACAACTGTAATCTCCTAACTTCCTCAGTGTGGCCCTTCTACTCCATCGTTACCCTGACAACTCGACACTTTTCCTTTGTGTCAGGTCAGTTTGGAACAGAACATTCTGGACTCCTGTGTAATAAATAACAGATCTGAAGAGCCTGGCTGAGGGTTCACCAGGATCATTTTAGAAACAGCTGATGTTAAGCTAACATGCATGACAACCATATATGTTACATATATATCATGTAATGCTAATTCAGGCCACAAAACAGGTACAATATGTGAAGTACTTTCCCTTAAAGTGTTCAGGATCTACTTATTTGGGATAAAGTTGGTGGTATTTAATGTTTTTTATATTTTAATTTTATTTTAGAGTTAGAGACAAATCCAGATTTTTTTCTTTCTTTTTTTACTAGTTTTACCTACAGTAAATGTACTATATTTAATAACAATGCAGTATTTTTCTTTAATAAATGAATTATTAATATTGAACTATTTTACTTAATATCCTGTCCACGGGCCAATGGTCTTCCTAAAGAGTAGCAGAGTAACGCTACATTGAGTTCTCAGGAAGTAATAAACCTTGTATCAAGACAATATATCTCACTTTATCTCATACATGTTATGAATTAGAAAATAATGTCCTTTTAGGGGGAGATAAACACCCACTTTTGTTCTTCACATAATCCATCTGAATGAATTACATTCAGCTTGTTTTTTCTGTGTGTTTTCCTCCTGTGTGGATTTTAATTTTAGCCGGTTAGCCTTGGGTTGATCAACTAAAACTGGCCTCTTTTTGCAGTTACTGCTGACAGACACATTTTTAGTGTCTGTGTCCCTGGATGACTCCAAGATTAACTGTGTCAGTTGTTTAAATAACCCAGCTTTGAAATCCTCAGCTGTTCCCTCAAATCACAGCGTATGTTAAAAACATCCTGTCGGAACAGGACGTTTGGCTGCAGTTCATTTTCTTTCATCTACGTCGGAGTGAGTCGGGCGGCTGTAATCTAACAGCATTTACTGTAGGTTTATGGATTGTAAACAGAAAAAGGTCAAAGGTTAGGATCGCACTCTTGATGTAATGTATATCGGAACGCACATTATACATTTGAAATGCATGCACACACTCACAAACTGAAATCATGATGAGAAGAAGAGAAGGAAACAGGCATACCTTGTTCTGCCATCATATGTGCAAGGCCTTAGGAGGGAGGAAGTAGAGGAGGAGACAGAGAGTGACACAAAGAGAACACTTAGTTTCAATACACTCTTGTATTGCGATGTTACATATTTCCATCCAGGTGGGAAAACATGTCATCAGATCACACTGACACGCATCACAAAGCTTCCTACCTGGGACAGAGCAGGAGGCTTCTTCACAAGAAAAGTGAGCATGCCTCTTTAGTAGCACTTCAGATTAGCGTCAAGAAGCTGTCGTGTATTCATACACGCTAACCTATTCTCTGTTAGCATTTTCAAAAATTAAGTTTAAAGAAGTTTCTGAAACCAGATTGTCAGCATACATGTGATTTTTTTTTAAACTTAGTTTGCTGCCTGGCTCTTTTATGCTAAAGAATTAAATATACTATTGAATTTTTTAATGGAGTATTTTAAAATTTCCATCGCACATGTCAATATGAATAATATTTTGTCAGAGATTTGTCATTTTTTCATAAAACAACAAGGTAGCTGAAATGGATCGAGGGTCGAGGGCTTTACGAAAATATAAAATTTAAATTTGTTGTCTGAACTAACTTCATCCACAGGTCACAGTTTGAACAGATGATGACACAGAAGTATGTGAGTGTGGGCTGTAGCTGGACCACAGAGTTCACCTGGTCAGCAGTTTGACCAGAGCCACAGACACGGGCTGTTTTATTTTTCACTTTTAAATCTTATTTTCTCAGCAAAAAGAACAATCAATAATTTGATTATTTTAACATAGAATATGGGGAAATTATTACATTCTACAAATTTGAATGAATTTCCCTTTCATCGAGGGCAGAGTTCACCCAGACACACTGACGTAGGTTTGGTTCTCGTCTCTGTTTTAATAATAATCTCTACGGATCAGATGAGTTGTTAATGACGTGAGGCTGTTTCTGTTGCGTTCAAACTCACCTGGCATATTATTGACGACTTCTGGAATAAAGCAGACAGAAACACAAGAAACAAAGGCAGGATTAGAACACTCGTATTACTTGCATGGTGATTATCATGCAAACGTTGACACCAGTCATAATCCATGCAGATGGCCGGCAGTGGGCGCGGCCATGTGCATGTCTGTTACAGTGAGAAAGGTTTGAACACTTGGCTTTGAAAGCAGCATCGTCTGGTTTCAAACAGAGTCAAAGGTCGACTTTGGAGACAAATAAAAAAAACCCTCCCAGCACAGACACACGTCTGTGTTTGATCAGCCTCCACAGCTGACACTGTTTATTAACCAGAACACACAGGTGACAATAGCTCAGATATAGAACTCAACTGCATGTAACCTGCCTGTGACCTTCACTGACCAAGGTCTGAAGAGGGACAAAATGAAGACAATCAATAACAATCGGACTTCAACATTTCAAATGTAAGAAGGTGAACGTTTTTTCAAAGGCTTTTCCAGCAGTCATTAACTCTGATGGACATCATAGATAGGCTGCACATATTAGCAGAAACAGCATATTTAATTTAAAAACATCTTTTTTTTCTTTTTGACAATTTTAAATTTTATTTGGGCGGAGCTTGGTAAAATATGCAAAGAGCTTTACTTCTAACCAGAACCATCGACTCTTGGTGAGATACATTTTATACTGCTACCTTGATGTAGTGGTTTCCAAAGTAGGGGGTGGGTTCCCCTCAAGGAGACCAGAATTATTACAGGGGAGGGTCAATACAGCAGATCAAATTATTATTTTTTGTACCATTGTGGGGGCGGGGGACTGATTTTTATTTTCAGTTTTTGTGAATACCATTTGTTTTAAATAAAGTTCACCAGATTTCTGAAACGATAGCTCGACAGCAGACCTATCAACAAAGGGGTCGGAGGGCAATAAATACTGCCACGATAGAAGAGCTGGGAAGTGATGTCAAATGTAACGGGGCTGAGATGCATTAAATGTATTTAGTTAGGACTAATTGATGTTAGGACATTTGGCCAATCAGACACGGATCAGACATTAATTCAGTTTGATGAGGACTGGTGTCGACTGAGCTCCAACATGGACGGAGTTGGAAACTTCCTGTGACTCCATGTCCATCTCGTCTGTGCTCTCCTGACTTTGACCTCTGTCACTGCCTCGTGTGTTTATATGATGTCAGCTCAAGTTGTTGAAGGAGACATAAGCAGTCAACAAAGCTGAGAGGCCTCTGGAAACACGCCTGTTTGGAGTCATTAAACGAAGGAGTAATTAGTCAAACTAATTAGCAGCCGGATTGTTTTACTGGTTCACCGTCTTCCTCGGCTTCCTCTGCCCTAGTTGCTCTGGTTTGTGACTTGCATTATTCCAAATATAAATCATCGTAAACAGACTTTATTATTGCACAGGGTGTAAAATAAATCCCTAGACTATTCTGGAAGGTGATAAAAGTCAAGGCCTGCATTAGGTGAAAGTTTTATGTGTTTTTTCAGCACAGGTTCAGCATAAGCAAAGAGCAAAAGTTCAGTACGACCCGGGATTTGAACCACGAGGCGACAGAGTGATGATGAACTCGCAGCAGGGAGGAAATGGAAAAACAGATTTATCTGTATTTCCCATCATCCTCTTTTGTTTGACTTGTGGATATTCGTCATTTACAGCTGCTCTCCTGGTGATTAGCTGAACTCGCTCATTTGTCCTCCGTCCAGGCCAACTGTCTTTGGTGAGTGGACATCACCGTACGTTACGCGTCTCTCCCTTCGTATACATACTTGTAATCAAATTCAAGCTAAATTTTCCAGCTAAAAAAATATAACTAGATCATTTCTGGTTCATTTACTGTAGCAGCTGACACATAATCCATGAGAGAGTATAATTCATCTCACAGTACTTAAAGGGAAAGTATTATTTTTTTAGCAAGTCATAAGAACGGAGACTGCATCTGTTAATGAGGCAGACGTTCATTCAACATATAATTTATTTAAATTTTTTTTAGGAATGCCCATCAGTAATCATCAACATATAATTTATTTAAATTATTAAATTAAATTTTTTTTAGGAATGCCCATCAGAGTTATGTAATTTTTTAACACCATGTCACAACCACAGACTCTTCGTAATAAATTATTCTCATTTTTCCATTATACTGGATGAACCACAATCCATCTCTGAAAAGGTCATTATTCCAGTCTTGCTGTCCTTCAGTACATTTATTGTTGGACTAGTTTCAACCTAAACTCTTACAATTACTGGGATTCCTAACATGGTATTTACTATTTGAGTCAGAGAACGTATACATGAGTCCCAGAGGACGTAGGTTTAAATGTGTTCATTATTTTTGGAATAAACATTATTGCATCAATATTTAATTATCTTAATGACTGACATGTTTGAAGATAATGCTAAAATAGTGATAGGTGGAGAATTTAGCCAGGGATAGCTGCACCTGCCATGTGAAGAAAATGGTGAACTTTATTTAGATATTGAAAACGGGGGGTTGTTGTAGTGAGGGTGAAGCACAGCACAAAGGATGCTGGGGAAATTCAGATACAGAAATTGGAGTGGCTTTTGAACTTCTGACTCAGTCCTCGTCTTAGGAAATGCAAATCCAAATATAATATTGTTTTGTGTCCAACACCTGGGTTCATCTATAGGCAACATAGTATAAAGAAGTTGGGGGTTTAAATACCTAACATAAAACAATGGATTAGATTAAAGTACAGCATTAACTGTCTCACGTGTCCCTCCACCATCAACAGTCCAACATTCTGTCAGAGATGGTTTTGGTCTCTGCTCCCTCTCACCTATCAGTGCCTGTCAGGAGTCGGCCTTCCCACAGACCAGGGAGGGGACGTGAGGAATAGATCAAAGCTGGGAGCGTGTCCTAGTGTGGAGGCTGTACAAAAAGGTCAGGGGACGTGGCCTAGCACGCTGTGTACTGAGGTACAGTAGCTCCAGTCACACAGTGGCTAGTCTGTGTTTAAATAAGCCAAATAATTAGAGAAAGAATTTAAAAATTATATTTCTCACCAGCGGGAACAGAAAATTGTAGAAAGTATTTATTAGAAAGTACTTATTAATGTTTGACTTTGTTTTCTTTCATGTATCTGTGTAATTTGTGCTGTGCTCATACACACCTCACACAGGATTCATACTGTATGATCTAAAATCTAATTTTTCATACAATATTATTTAGATATTTGAGCAGTAGAAAAGCCAACCAAAAAAAGTTAAAAACCCAGTGGTTACTGACAGAGTTAGCACCACTTCTGTTAAAGCTAGGGGAGGAACAACCAGCATGTGGCTTTGTCAAACACTCACTGGTAAAATGGAGGGTAATCAACTCCACCTCTGGGATCATTTTAGGCCTTTAATTACACAGCAGTGGTGTTTAGCAGTACACAGTGGCAGTATTGTACAAAACCAGGACCAAAATAACACGACTAAAGGAGAAAGAGCTGTTTAAAAACACAGTGTCTGAAGCAAACGTCCTCACTGGTCGCCGTCATGCAGCAGCCATCTTAGATTGTCACATAAAGTCTATGTGTAACACTTCTCATCAACATTTGACTGATCACATGTTCGTGTCCGTTTGACAGAT